TTGAAGAGATTCCGAGTCACTTTTGAGATCTGCCTGTAGAAGATGTCACAAATGTAGCTCACAGCACCTGAAAAGTGGGGACTAAATGAGGTTTACAGACAGACTTCAAGGTCACTGCTGAACTCAGAACTGGCTTTTCTGGAGATTCTGGAGTCCAATTCTTAAGCTCACTTTAAAGATGAAAGTCAAGTGTTCTTTCTTTAAAATGCTTTCTGAGTTGAAGAATGTCAGCTTCAAGTCTTACATGAGATTTAACTTTAGGTTAAACTCATCAGTTTATGAATAAATACAGTGTTTATATATATGTATTATTTTGAAGGTTATTAAAATTATACATGTTGTTTCCTTTACTTTTGAATAGGAGCGTGACTTCCCTACAGAGATGGTTAAGTTTGGACCTGAGCGTATGTATATTGACTGCTGGGTTAAAAAACAAACTTATGATACCTTCAAGGATATTCTGGGGTCTGGGATGCAGTATCATTTACAGGTGAGCTGCTGTTTGATGCATGCTCAGACTGTTGTTCTCTGTCTGGCTTCTTTGTAGCAGTTTGGTCTGAATTATGAAGTCATGAGTAGAACTTGGTGGAATGATGAGCTTTGCATTAGAAGTGTTAAAAGACAGCACTTACAAAATGAACTAGAGCTTTTTCTGAGTTGTAGCCTGAGTGTGCTGTGGGTTAGCAATTAGAAGATTTCTCTAAGAAGTAAGATACTTGAGCTGAATACCTTCTTAGCTTCAGGGGTTTTCCTGAATCTGTGCTTTCAGCAGTGCTGTAGTTGACCGGCTGTTAAAGAGCTACATGCCTCCACCCTTCCTGGTCAAGCCTGTGAAAAGGAATGCAAAGTTTTAGTCTAAAGTGATGAACACAACTTGCAGCCCAATGATGACAGCATTCCAGAAGGGAAAGAATAAGTCCTTATTTGTTCACTAGTCATCTATTCAGATAGGTAACAGAAACAGGAATTGTAGCTTGGGGTATATGCACCGAAATTGCTATGATAGTCATGGGGTTAAAATCTTCAGTCCGGTGCCAGCTGATTTTCAAGGTGACTGAGGGAGCCCAGGCATGTGACAGCTTCTTCAGTTTTTAAAATACATTTACAGCCAGATACTTTAAAATTGCTGTGTTGTGAAACCATACAGATCTGTGTCCCACTGCCTGATCTTGTATAGACAGTGTCATAGAACAGTGTCTTCATTTTCAAGGACAAAAAAATCCATAGGGGGGACGACCTGTTTCTGTCTCAAGAGGGCAGTTGTAGTTGTTAGCCTTTTTCTGATTAAAGGAAGTGTTCCCTGGCTTAATTGCAAAAGTTACTAAGATCTGTGTCAGACTGCTGCAATTTCTTACTGTAATACTTGATATTTAACAGTAGTCATCTTTGGAGACTTGATAACCAGGGGAGAAACTGATTGTTTGATGTGTTTCTTGTTTAGTCAAATGACTTTCTTCGGAATGTGTTTGAGCTTGGTCCACCAGTAATGGTAGATGCTGCAACTCTTAAAACAATGAAGATATCCCGTTTTGAAAGGGTAGGTGCTTGCACTTTAATATTGATACATTAATATATTTCTCCTAAATTAAATGGTATTCCAAACATGCGGTTGAGAAGCTGTCATATTTAAGGTGTCACTTTAGAACTAAGTGTTCTATCTTATCCTGAATGAAACCAAACCTTGCTTTTGTGGGTGTCTTTGAGCTCTTATTTTAGCTCTTCCACTGAGCATGTGTCTGCTACTGCTTTTTCTTCCAAGGAGGTCTGGAGGTTGATGTGCTTCCTGACTGGTATCAGATTCGTGCTCTCTGCGTGTGCAGCTAGGGCTCTAAGGAAAGCCATAGGATTTTGGGCAGGGACCTACAGGAAGCTGTAGAAACCAGGTCTTACTGAAGACAGTCGCAAACTTCGCAGTGTGAAGGGGACACTGGCAGGATGATGGTTTTGTTCTGTTCGTTGTGAATGTACTTATCCTGTACGAACCATTTGTGAAATGGTGCTGCCAAATTTAATTGGGGGGCAGACTTAATCTACGTTGTGCCTCTGTGTGATGTTCAGCGCTGACTGGCTTCAGGATTGCTCCTAGCTCAGGCTTTCTTACACAGTCCAAGTTTCTTTTAAATGTGTACATATTGAAATGAATCTGTCTTTGGTGCACAAAGATACTATAAATTTCAGAAGGCCTACCAATTTTTTCAAAGATTAATAAAAATTTATTTCAAGGTGCTTCTTAAGATGAAAAACAATGTACATAAGCTTTTTAATATCTGCTATTAATGTTTTCCTTTTATTTTGTAGCACTTGTACAACTCTGCAGCATTCAAGGCTCGGACAAAGGCTAGAAGTAAATGTCGTGATAAAAGAGCAGACGTGGGAGAGTTTTTCTAGATCTCCTTTTCCATGGCTTTCAATATTCATAATTGAAATGTATTTTTAACTTTTAAATGATTTTTTTATTTCTGTAGTCTGCACTTGTGCACAGAGATGTTGTATAAAGTCTGTAAATATAATGCATGTTGTTGCTTAGTTGCATATACACTGTACATAGATGGGTGTAAGATGGGGTGCAGGGATACGTTGTAACACTTGCATTAGACGCAACTTGCTCCAAAGTCTGAATATGCTGTTACTGAACTGTTCAGTGGGGTGGGCAACTGTAGTCAAATGCCATGTGTCAGATAGGATTCCTTACTTCACATCAAGGCAAACTAAATGAGTTCATTGGCCAAGTGTTCTGGTAAGAATGTGCTAACCTCAAAAGATGAACTTGCTCATGTGAAGTTAATTTGGTAGCTTTTTAAACTCCTCTGGCTGGCAGGTAGACAAATTTCTGCATAGTGTGACTATCCTGTGAAGTTCCATTACCTTCACTTACAGTGAAGTACTAAATGAGAAGTACTTGCCTCAATGTAAAATAAACCCAAGATTCTTATGCTCTGAAATTGGAAGTTTAATTTTTGGAATAAAATTGTTTCTTGTTGCTTGCTTTCTGTGTAAAAGTGATTACTACACGAATGAAAACTGAACACTAGCAACACCCAGAAGTTGAAACAGATGGGTTTATTTGCCTGTTCAGCAATGTGGTTGGGTTAGTCTCCATGCTTTAGTTGCTGCCTTGCTGAGTTCTGAAGGTGTCTGATCAACATAGGGTCTGTCATGACATTTCTCATGGTGAAATGTTGTCTAGGTCTGGTACTGCACAACACCTTCTCCCTTATCTTACCAGAGCCATTCCATCTGCCCTACTTTCGACATGTTAAAAACTACTCCTAGCCTCGGTTTCTAGCTCTAGAACACTGAAATGTGCCAATACCCTAGAACTGTCTTGTCATAGGGATGGGGGGCTGTTATACAATAAAGACACTAAATCCCAGCTAGCTGAAGTTTCTGAACTAGATGATCTGTAAGTAAAGGTGCTTGTTAAACATTCTTAAAAGTGTAAGTCAAGTTATCAGCAGAGGAAATGAACCTCACACCCCAAACCAACCCCACCCCCTAAAAATTACTGCTTGTTCTGATAAGGATGTTTTGGTTTGAGATTTTTTTTTTTTTTTAAGCTTCTGATTATAGCAGAAGCTATTCCAGAAACTCCATACATGCCAATCAGCTGTACCTTCTAACCTTTTTTTCACTGAAATAAGGTATTATGTGTGAACTTGTTTGGCTTACATAACTGATTCTACACATTACAAGGCCTTCACCTGAGGTCTCTGTTATTACTGTTGTGTGCTGTCAGTATTTGTCATGCAAGCGGAGAAGTAACTTCTGATCCCTGGGCTATATGAAGTTTTTGTTTCCCCATCCCAAGTGTTCCCACAAGCCTGGTGGTCTCTGCCCTGGCTGCTGGTACTGCCTTTGGCACCCTTTGCTCATGTAAAGCAGCACTTTTGATAGCTTCCTGTCTTGGCAGTGTTTTCCAGTGCTTTCCACAGCCCCTTCTGGCTGATGGCCCAGCACGTGGTTGCCCTTTCCCCCATTACCCTGCCACTGCCAACTGCAGACCAGCATGGCTTCCAAGGCTGGCTGATGAGGGACAGGTCTCTGCTGCCCTGTATGCTCTGATGGGTTTGTAGACCTTGCCTCTGGGCTGCAGAGACCTGGGTCCTTGTTACTTGGTCCAGGTAGCAGCAGAGCTTGTCAGCTTGGGGTGGGAGCTGTGAGTCAGAAGATGGATCCTCTTGTTTCCTGGAAGACAAATACTTCGTCGGCTTAAAAGGTCTCGAGATTCTAGACGTAGAGGATGACTTCAGAATGGGATTGTTGTTTCAAGCTGTGATGCTTTCATATGAGTGTCAGCTGCCTGTCATTGCAGTGTGCTGGAACATCACATTTGGCAACATCAGAGAGAGGAGCTGTCTGCGAAGGAACAGTTACCAGTGCTCACAACACAGCTCATCAGAATCTGACTTTTAAAGAGCTAGCAATGTTGTACAAATTAGTCTATCCCATAATACTCTCCCACTTGAATTGGTAAGGTGTGGGGGAGGAGGAGGAAAATACCCTGAGTTTTTTTAGCCTATGCCTTTAATGTACTCACGTCTGCAATACTGTAGATATGACACTTCTGCATAGCAAACTGGTTAATCATAGCTACGGTCTGGTAGCTATGACTCTTCTGCATAAGCAAATGAGTTTTGGAAAGGCATCATAAACCAAAAGGTTAGTGAAATATTGATCATCAGTAACAAGCCGCCTCATTTTCCATGACAGGATATTATAATGATAATTCCAATATAATAAAAAATAACCATGTATGTGCTGATTCCTTTATAAACAGATCAATACTGTGAAGTCAGCATACTTAGCCAAGATGAAGTCTAAATATAGATGGAAAGGGACAGGCTGTTTCTTAGCTGCCTTCACAGATTCTGCTGGGGTTGACAGCTTCCTATGGCTCTAAAAGTAGAGAAAGAACAGCAGAACAAGTGTTCTTCGGGTGATTTTCACTGGCTGATCTCTTCCATACTGGCACATTACCTGAACGTAGTTATGTTGTAAGTAATGTTTCACTCTCTTGCTTTTTAATTGCTTTTAGATTTTACTTCTTTCTTTTCTGTGAAGAATTTTTGGTGTGTTCTTATTCTAATTTTACCAGAACAGCTTAAGAAGAAATTTAAAAGTCACATAGGGAAAAAAATATTTAAGCAAGCTTAAAGCATAAGATAAGAGTAACTCACAAAACCCCAGTGTGTAGATCAGTTTGTTGGGAGAATAATACCTTTGGCCAGTAACATTGATGTCTCTCTTACCCTCTCTCCTTTGTTTGGCATGTCAATAGAATCAAACAAATGTAATATACTTTGTTGAATTAATAATGGTTATCATCTTCACTGTGATTACACGCACAGTGAGGAAATCAGTTTTAAATAATTAACAAAGAATGCAGAAACATAATAATATTAATGAATTGAAGGTACTCACGTTTATTACCACTCAAGCTGTTGAGTCTTCCCTGAAGTTGCAGGGAGGTACTAATCAAAATGTTCAAGAGAAACAACTGCTCTTTGGAAGCTAAAAATAACCAAAAAGCCTCTGTGCCCCGAGGTGGTAACTCCTAGCATGCCATTGTTGAAACACTGGGCTCCTAATGATGGCAGCTGGCTACGGATGTGCTTGTGGGGAGACAGCACAGAAGGTGCTGCCTGGCACCATGTGGCAATCTAGTGGAAGGGCAGTGGACACAGTCATCCGTCCTGAAATTACTGCTGGACACCTAAAAATCATACTCTCGGTAGGGGGAACCACTACTGTGCCAACTTTCCACCTTATCTTTGTATTTTGTAGCAACGCTTCTGAGCAGAGGAAAAGATTAAGCAGTAATCTTTCCTACACTCTATTAAACAGAAATATGTGTACATGTAGGCCTGTCAATCTCCACTATTAGGCGAATGAGACCCATTGCCAGGAAGGATTTAAGCACTTAGTGTTCAGACTTAGTGCGGCTCAGTGAAGTTTGGCTGTGTGGTCCTATCCGGGGGAATTACAGCAATCTTCTGCATTTGGTTTGATGAGGGAAGGAGTGGGTCTTTTCCCTAAACACTCAGGGCTATTCCTCTAACTTCAGGTTTTTAACTTAAGCACTATGTTAGGAAGCTGGTCACATTGTGTGCAATTCATAGAGGAGCCTGCTTAGGTATTGCTTCTTTTCTATGTATAATCTTCTTCAGAACTGTATTTATATAAACAATCATTCAATAAGTTCATGCACCCAGACTCTGCTGAGAAGTGCTGATTAGGCACCATCCAGTGTGTTTTTTCAAAGCAAGCAGTATTCGTCTGAAAAAAAGGCTTTTCTGTCAGGCTTTAATTTGTCCAAAACTAGCATCTATGTGGAGTAGAGCTGTATTTGACTAATTTTTGCTCCATTCATCACAAATAGTAACTTCACAGTGATATTCTAAGCAGAGGACCTGAGTGACATCCTTCCCGGCAGTGTCAGTGAAGGTTTGGCTTTCACTATAGTCAGGCTATCACCCTATATTCTACCAAGTACACACCAGATCAAAAGGGTTATGCAACAAAATAACTAAAGTCAAATGAATGGTGGTATCTGTCAAAGAGATTTTTCTGTTTCTCTCCTTCTCCACACACATACATATGTATGCATAAGTATGCACATGTGCACAAACACAATGCAGAGATTTATAGTCATCAAAGATCTCCAAGAAAAAACAACTGCTATGTACTGAGTTACCCTTGCCTTCAAGACCTAGGAAGTATGCTGGTCCTTCAAATCCCTTTATTTTACAGGTTGTTAAGGCTGCTCATCATTTTCTTAGAACAGGACACCAACTGTTACCAGTTATTTTCCATATCCCTATTTTAATTTACTTTTTTAATTATTAGTTCTTTTAGATACAATGGAGAGGCCTTCCTTGGAAATTAACCTGCCCAATACTCAGGAAGAAGGGAAACTTTACGTAGTTGATTCCTTAAACAACCTAAACAAACTAAATGTTTGTCCAGATGGATCCCAACATGTGCTAGGTACGTACAATAGGCGATGCTCTGTGGTTTTCTGTACATACAACAGGCCATCAAAAAGAGTTATGTATGACATTTGAAAAGCCTGATCTTATAGTGTATCACTGCTGTCAACAGCCCAATAGGCCAATATGTATGTCAAGCTCTGCACTGAAAAATGTAAGAAGATGGAAAATGGTGTAATTTAGATCAAATTAATTGTTTAGCTGCTCCTGCTGAGTATTTAAGTTATCAGGTTCTTGAAAATCCTTGCATTTAGCTAGGGATTCACTGTCAAGCATGAACTTACCTTCCATTTCAACTGGGATTCATTGAGTGATCCCTTGCAGGATAATGTCTCTTGTAATGCTCTATAAACACCTACTACATAAATTGCATTGTAACTCTGTGAGTACTGTCACAAGCAATAAATTCACAGATGGCAACAGAAACACTAGAGGAAAAACTGTTCCTTCTTTTAAGACACATCTCCTAAGGAGTCAAACCAGTTACCTGAAATATTCCATGACACTTTCAAGCATTTTAATTCACAGCCTCTTTATTTACAGCTTCAGGTATGGGCTCTCACACTTCTACTGGTTTTATATGGCTTTTATCTTTGATTTCTCATGGCAACCAGAATATTTTCAGTCAGTAAGAGCTACAATATATTTGAATTATGATACATTCTGCATTGTTTCATGAATCTATAAGCATTTTGTCATGTTTATCATAACCAACCTTAACAAACTTTACCACCAAATAATTTATCATCTCATAATAGAGGAGGAAGAGAACGTTGGTGCTACTGAAGAAAACACGTCAGGGAGCAACATCAGGAACCAGCGCTTGTTCTTCGTCACCTTCATTCTTACTTTGATCATCAGTTTGGCACTTGTTTCATTTGTAATATTCATAATAAGTAAGTAAACCAAACAGTGGTTCTTGAAAATATAAGGCAAATTAGAAGAACTCTGCTGAAATATGTCATGCTACCATGCAACATTCTACTGCTGTATCTGCATGGTCAAAGGTTTTGGCGGGATATAGGCAGTGGGTCTTGGTCCTGGGTCCAAAACCACAGGCCTCTACTCTGTGACCTAGAATGCACACTTTTCTTCTTAGTGAAAAGGTTTTATGAGCTTCAACAGCTGTCAAGAATTCAGCTCAGCAGGGTTATACTGTGCTGCTAAAAATGCTGGCTGGAAATTGAATTTTAAAGATGACTGTATGGCAGTGAGATACTTTGACAACATGCCTTCCATTCTTTTCCAAATAAAACTCAGTCCTGGTGTCATTTTGCTGCAACTGGAATTACACCCAGGCTAAAGCTTAAATCAGGCTACCTGCATAAGGACCTGAAGCTTGCCAGCTAAACACTGACTGGAAATTGGTTTGGAACTACAAAAATGTCAAACATAAGAACCAAAAAAAACTGATAAGATGTATAAAAATTGGCATGCATCATTCAGTCTGTAGATGAAATTGCCATTCTGCTTCAGCTGGGCTGGTTGGGCTGGCTTAGCTAAGGTGACCTTTGGCTACAGGTGACCTTTCTTTATGGAGCCCTTGCCATCTTAGGCTTTTCTGGACTAATGGTATTGAACAGAGTATGAGATGCATTCTTTTAACTTACAAGTTTATTTTCAATGAATTGGAATCCATGTGAAGTTAAGATTTCTTTTATCCTATAGTAGGGGATTCAGTGGGTTATAGCAAAAATCCTCATTTTCCTTTTTGAATAGGAAATTAACCCTTGACTTGTGGACACATGCTCGAAGAACAGAATATCAGACAATTAAAGAGCACAAAGGAGATTTTAAATGGCATAATTGTAAAACCCTAATTAAAATACCTCATACTCGAATTCCATATTTATTTAATGGGGAACTGCTAAAAGTGGAGCTCCAGTATAGAAAAATGAGCAATGTGCCCCTCTAGTGGAAAACTGGTAAACAGTGAAAAGGCTACTTACTAGGGTTAAAGGAGTTTGCTTAGGCTCAGGTTGGTGTAGGTTTATGGTTTTTGAAACTGATTTCCAGTAGTGCTTCAGATTATGTTACAAATAATCTGAGATTATGTTTGCAATCCATAGACAGATTTGTTTACCACTAGCACTACTAGTTTAAGCTTCAAAACATGGGTAAATTTTGTTAACTTCAGAAGGCCAAAATAAAAATAGCTCCAGAAGTGTACACAGCGGTTATGCATACTGGTGTTCCAGGGGAAACTGGCCTCCAAATGCCAGTATTTGCAAGACTTCTTCTTTAATCTAAATGCGTTAGGAAAGTGATGTGGCTGTAGTCTGCTGTGTGTTTTAGTAATTCTACTTTTAGAAAAATACAGATGCATGCTGCCCACAAATAACACCCTGCAGCCCCTAAATAAGACATATTCCTGTGGACAGCAATGAAATTGATATACTCCTGAAGACTACAAAATTTTTCTGGGCCGTATTTGATTTTGTTTCTCTACACTAACCTGAACCAGAAAATAAGCAATTAAATAAGCAACGTAACTTCTTATCATTAGGTCCTGCAGTTGCTTTCCAGTTTAATATTTTTGCTCATCATAATTCCCTACAGACTCCCATGGGAATGCAAGAGAGCATAATGATTTTCTTGACTTAAATGCTGCCAATTTAATGTGGTACATTTTCCTTTTCAAGTTCAAACTAGAAACAAGATGGACCAAATATCAAGCAGACTAATAGCTGAAAAGAAGAACATAGAAGAGCTTAAGAAAATTAACAATATGATATTAAAGCATCTAAATCAATCAGGAATTAAGGAAAATGGGAGCTACCTCTTCACACAGTCTCCTGATCTTCACAGTTACCTCTTTGCCCATGCTGAGCTGAAAGTCCCTGAAGAATAGATCTTCTTTGGTATGAAATTCAGTGTATTTATGTACTCAAGCTATTTTCACATATGGCACATGGGTCACTTAAACATTCTGACATGGTCACAGGAGCATTAGAAAAGCCAGATGTATGAAAGACAGTAGAAAACAGTTTTTTATCCTGTTTCATATGAATATAGAGTTGACAACAAACTATGATTTATAATAAATGATGGATTATCAATGATTTTGGGCAAGAGTTCCAGATTCTCCGTGCATTCTAAATTGAAGGGCTAAGGGCTTAGTTTTACTTTAAATGTGAGTGATCACAGAAAATAGTAATTTCTGTTCACATGATTTCAGCATGACCTTGTTCACTTAGTCATTCTCCTCTTGGTTTTTTTTTTTTTTTGAACAAGTTTTGTGTTTGCTTCTGTATTATTTGTATTTAAGGATAACTTCAGATTCCTTAACTTATAAATAAATCCCATTTCTGCCATGGACTTTGGTGGTTTTCCTTTCTGTTCATCTAAACAGATTGACTTACTACTGCTTTTGTGAGAAAACAAACTTGAGTAAAATCAAAGCATTTCATAACATGCCATATTCCTCCCAAATTTATATTGGCTGAACACGTGTATTATATTGTCTTATATGGGAAACAGGTTTAGAGGACTCAGTCTGGGAATACCCATCTCATAACAATGCTAAGTGTTCTGTCATCAGTATTTGCTGGTAGTTTCTGGGAGAAGACCAAGTGTTTTTATAAAGCAACATGGGGAAAATGCTACATGTTCTTGTACTCTTCCCTATAGTTGTTGTTGGCTACTACCAGAAAACAGCCAAGTAAAATCTGGTCTGAACCTTCATGTTTTTAAAATGGAGCAATACCTCAGAGGGTAAAAGCAGGAGCCAATGCTTTCTTGCTCCGACTTTATACAGCTGTGGAGACCAACACCCAGAAGAGTGAACACTTAACACACTGGTGGGTATTGTTGCCATTTTAGCATTAAGAACCTTCTACTGGCACATACATTAAGAAGCCACCTCCATTATCAATAAATTAATCGGTTACTCCTATCTCAACAGTGCAATGGCAGCTGACACTATGGAGTATGTGCAACATCTTCTCTTTTACTCTGAGGTCTGTTTGTCATTCAATGCTTCCTTATCTCTTCTGGACAATTTTACAAAAACATCACCAAAGCTGACAACTTTCATCGCAGTCTCTTCTTCCAGAATAACTGATAGTCCTTTCTGTGCTGGCTACTTCATTGTCTACAACAGAGTGAAGAACTACGCCCAGGAATCTTTCCTGGTATCACTCTACTCGGATTTGCCCAACCATTCTATTCCTGCTATTAGGAGTGCTTTGCTTTACACCTATGTTTTAGACCACCTACTTTATATTTCTTTTCTTTTCCTGACACATTACTATCAAGTCACTCATGAAAACTGTGAAGTCATTCTCAAGACTTCATTACTCCTGTTGTTAATGCCCAGCTGCAGTTGCAACTATCTACTCTGGACATCACAAGTAGTTGTTACAAAGATGACTTTAAAATAGCTAACAAAGAATGATAAAAAGTAACTGTAGAAGTTGTAAGGAAAGAAATCCTAAAAGCTCAACCCACACATCTTTCTGTATATGCTGGTAAACAATGAAAGAAAAGGTATTGTAAGACTAAAAATATGACACTCGCAGCATTGCTTCTCTGTTCTTTGAGCTGTCAGCTGATTTTTAGTGACAATATTAAGTTCGCATCTCTCCCACTCATCTTGTAGCTATTCTAAGTGCTTTCAAGCTCCTGTCTTGCACTGACACACATCTGTACTTGTTAGCCAGGGAGAAACAACTCTAGTATTTGGTACTCAGTGCATCTCAAAAACATGGATTTGTCACATCCTTTGTTGCAACTGCAGCTATTAGAGCAGTGTGTGGTCCACTAGAAACTGACACAGTCAATAGTTTTTTTTTCTGGCAGGAGACTGTAAATAAAATCTGTGCTATAGCAACAGTCCCCAAAGAAATTAAAGCTTAGTTATCTCTCTGATCCTGTCCTCAATTACTCTTAATCTAGTTATTTGATCAGTACTCATAATAAATCTACTTTTCCTGTCTTCATTGTTGATTAGAAGTGTCGGGGCGGTGTGGGAGAGGGTTCACTCCATGGTTTGATCCTGCAAGGTGCTGAGTGCCCTTATGTGCCACAGACTTAGGACCAGCTCAGGCATACAGATGTGCAGGCATGCTGAGTACCACACAGGTCTGAGGCTCCAAGTCATCCTTTCTTGCTTCTTCAGTTGCAGTGGTCAGCTATTAAGATTAGTGACTGAAGCAGTGCAAAGATCCAAGGGCCTCCTAGGCTCATTCTGCTAGCACTGCTGAAACACATTTGTTGTTGGAGCCACTGGTGTACAAGGGAGAAACGGAGCAGCACTGCTTATGGCTGCTTATGGCTTCTCATCTCAAGATACCAACATCCATTTACAGTTAGAACTGCTTCCATATGAGACCAGAGCAAGGGTTTACAGGGCTGCCTTGACAGCAGAGTGCCACAACCATTCCACCAACACTTTCTGGAGTACCCCCCTAAATAGAAGAAAGTAGCGTTTCCTGCATGGGGACATTTCTGTCTAATCTACTGACAGTTAAATAGTCCCAAAGAAAGCTTGACTCCTAAAATTTTCTACAAACTTGACCCTGAAGTGAACTTCAGCTCATTCCAGAGCTCCACAATCCTCATCTTGAATAAACAGCTAAGTGACTAGTAAACTCCAAGCTCCAGCTGCATGTGGTGTAACCGCCGTGCTGTATAGGTATATTACAATGTCTCCTGTAGACACCGGCAGCACACCTCAGGAGTCTTTGCAAAGTCTGCTATAATGACAAAGAACAGGAGCAAGGTGATCTGACAGTCACAATTTCATCTTATAGCAGCCACAGCCGTTTTCCTCAGTAGTGATGCTACTTTATCTCTGATTTGCAGGCTATAGAGGTATCTATCCAAAATAACTTCGTTTTCAGTATTTTGCTGAGTCCACTGTAAATTAAAATGATGCAAAGGGGTTCGGGCAGATGTAACAACATGCAACTGACACTCATCTCTCTCAACAGCTGCAGCTGCTATCATTGCTGAAACAACAACTTGGCTTCAGGCAATTTTCTGGTGAATAAATCTGGACAATACTAGAAAGATGTTGGTAAGCAAGGAGAAACACTTGGAAGATTTATCCAGTAAATTATCTTCAACTTCCATCAAAAGCATCATGGTGTTGGTCCCTGAAGTGCTATCTGAACCTTTAGGTGGTTAGGTAGTATCAGTAGACAAAATACTTTCTTCCTCTGGTTAGTCTGCTGAGAAATACACTCCTTTGCTTCAGCTATCCACAACAGCCCATGTTCTTGTTAAGCCAAAACCATTGGACTGTATCTGACTATGTGAAAAGTACATCTGGAGAGACTACACAGTAAAAAATAGTAGTGGGTCAGCTAGTGCAGGCATTTAATTTCCTTTTTTGGGGGTCATGTTACCATGAGAACACCAATTTGTACTCGGCCTTCTGCTCTTCTAGAGGGAAACAGAGCTCAGCATCTACAAGCAGCATGTAAGAACTGAGGACAAAACATTCTTTAAAGAGACCGGTCTATGAACCAGTAGGAGGTTAGGCAAATCCAAGCAGTAGGTATCTTCAGTAGAAAATGATGCACAGACAGTAAGGGGGCATTTTTGAGAGGCAGTCAAATCCATCCCTTTGCCTGACAGCAGCATCAGATTTACTTCAACTATTCCTGACAGATGCTTTTCCATTCACACTGTAAAATATTTAAATGATGGAACTTCCACTGCTTAACTAACCTTATTTTTTTTCCTTAAGTCTAACTAAAGTTTTCCCTGTTGAAATTTAAGCCCACTATTACCTGACCTATTGCTTGTGAATATGAAAAAGTTTGTTACCTTTTTTTGTTATTACATATTATACTAACTCCACAAGCAATTTTACTCTTAAGACAGCTTTTTCACCCTCTGAGATACTTGCAATTTTAATATAACATTTATTCTTAAATTCTAGTATGAGTTCAGTTCACATGCTTCCTTCACTGGTAACAATACAAAGCTGAACATGGATAAAAACCTATAATGATGTGCCTACTCTGAATCTGGAAAAAAGAGAAAACTCCAGGAGTGGCAAAAGGACTGTCACAAATTTTGTTAGACCATATGCTCTCGAAGGTGATGTACTGAGTGCTGCACACAGTCCAGACTGTTCAGGAACACTAAATGCTGTGTCTAGGTATTTGCAAAATGAGCAGAGTGAAACAATGTTGGACAAAACAGCAGGATTGTCAGAACTAGAATCCCTTGAAGAACAAAACCCCTTTCATTGAGTTTGAAGTCTCTGAAGATCAAATACTTATTTTCATTCTACCAAAGCATAATCTTGTTAAATAACACATGAAATTACTTGCAAATATGCATTTTCAGTTCCAAAATTCCAAGTTTTCTTACTCACTTCACCCTGACTGGAGTTTCAGCTTTGAGACCCAGAACCTACCCCACTGAAAACAGCACCAAAGTAATGTCCTCTATTGAAAGTGTCAGTGTTTTGAAAATGTTTATTCTGACAAATTTGCAACCAGTTAGTTACAACTGGAACTGTGATTAAGCAACACCTATACATACATATATATAGAGGTGTTTTAGTTATATATATAAAAGCCAAACAGCAACTAAAAATTGGTTTTATGTTTTGACTAGTAACTGAAAGTCACTATGTCTGAGAAGGTGCTTAACTTGATCTTCTTATAGGTAATGGGCATAATTTATCTTGGAAGATGTTGGCAAATAATGAAAGTTGGATTAAAACCTTAGATCGCAGCCCAGTGCTGCTGAGGTTAAGGGAACTGTTCTCTTCAATTAAGGAAAAAAGCACATTCAGTCCATTACATGTTGCTGTTCTTATTTTCCCACCATATTAACAAAGATACTGAGATTTAAAGAGAGGGACAGAGGGGACGAATGTATTGTCACTTCCTCCAGGACAAATAAATAATAACACTGTGGCCAAAGAGGTTGTTAGTCTTATCTGAGAACCCAATCAGTCTTAGAATTCAGGAAAAAGCTTCTATAGACTCAGTCTCCTCTCCTTTCTCCAGTTTCTGGAACACATTTCAGCAATCGGAACGCTGTCCACGATTCAGTGACGAGCCAGCAAAACCCCTGAATGGTAATGAGAACCTTCCAGTAGGAACAGTCACACCACAGCACTGCTCCTAATTTATCACTGTGAGGCAAAACACATTACACACAAGGGTGAAAGGACAATTTAAAAATCGATTGCCTGCCGATTTAAAAATTTATTAATAATTGTGGATTTGCTTTTCAAGTTCTGCACTGCTCATTTAACCTTGAACATTTTCTTCACCACACACGCATTAAGTGACTTTGTAAAACAACGCTTGTCTACAAGGTGACACAGAATTTTGACACATAGACTCCCTTTGCTCCTCAGCAAAAGCTTATGGCTAATTCATTAACTTCCAATAATGCTTCAATTTTTCTGTGAAAGGAACTCTGACGCATTTTCTTCAGAAAGGCCTCTCCCTGAGTACTTAAAATCATATGGGTAGATATGTAGGTGATAACAATATTTTCACTGATTTTTCAACAGAAGGTGTGACACTGATCCTACCTTTTGTGCATCAGCTTTGATCTGAAGCAGCTCTGGGGTTGCACTTCTTGTCTGACATGGATGTAAGTGAATGACTTTAAGAGAGTGCTCGCTGGTTCTAACGTTTAGGGGCCGGTCTGAACTACATTGAGCTTTACACAGAACTCGGCAGCAGAAGAATCCCCAGCTAAGTAAGCCAGCTCACTGAAGTATGTGGGGAGTGAATGAAACCTACTGAGCTGATTCAGCACCTATAAATAAATACTGACTGACTCATTGTGGCCTCCTTCAGAGGAACAGTGGTAACAGATAAAGCGGTAAAAGAGGAAACAGCCCTGAGCTGGAAAGCTCTTCCTTAACGCTCTGCACGTTCTGTGTCTCCCGCTGGAGAGACAGAGCAGCTGTCTCCCTCTCCAGGCAGAACAGCTGCTTTAAGGTCTTTATTCAAGCACCACGGCACAGGGATGCAGCAATCTCTGGTCAGCTCAGACCTCTGCCAGCAGGCCTGTAAAAAACGCCACCTCTTTCTATGTACGCAGTCCCCGAGAAGGGTTGCTGTTGTTAATTCCAGGAAGATCTTCCATTTATTAAGACTCTATGGCCCCTGCAGTGAGGGGAAGCCTGCTGGCCGTGGGAAACAGGCCCAAGAGAGACAGCGCGGCTGCCACTGCAAACCGCGGCCCTGCTCCCTTGCACTGCCCGACCGGAACCCCACACCTCTCCCAGCCCAACACCGGCGACAACTCCCCGTCGGCGCAGGCGCCGGGGCCCTATCGCTAGGCGGCGGACGAGGGAGACCCCTGGCGGCCGGGACCGGCAGGGCGGCTGCGAGCGAGCCTCAGGCCGAAGGGCACAGGAGAGGCGAATGTAGCTGCGGCGGAATCCCTCGGGAAGTGGCCTCGTCACCTTGGAGGGTCTGGTGCGGGTCGAAAGGCCGGGAACGGGCGCGGGCGACGGGCGCTTCTGCAGCCCAGTAATCCGAGTGCGAGCTGAGGGCACGGCGGGAAGCACGGTGGGCTGCAGGGCTGTGCCCGGAGACAGGCACAGGTGTGTCGGGGGTGAAGAGAAATGAAACGCCTCCCTGTGCTTAGGCCAACAGGCACTGCTGTGCAGAGCCCGTTGTCAGAAAAGCCTCATTTTCATCGGTGGCTCTCTTCCCTTCTTCCCCGAGGGACAGCATTAATTTGGTGGAAATTGTCAAGTCATGCTAGGCTTACTTATGGAGAAGCAAGGTGATTTGTCAAAAGTGCAGCTGATCAAAAATATTAGCTTGAGAGAAATAGGAATGCACTATTGTAAATTTTCGTATTTACAATCCAGTCACTGCCAGCTCCATTGTCATTATAGAATCATACCATCATAGAATGGTTTGGGCTGAAAGGGACATTAACGATTGTCTCGTTCCAGCCCCCTGCCATGGGCAGGGACACCTTCCACTAGACCAGGTTGCTCTAAGTCACCCCATTCAAACGATGATCAGTTAAATTGCAGAAGCACTGGCCATCACTTTGGTCGGAGCTTCCTGAGTTGTCAGGCCAGGAGAATCATGGAATGGAATCACAGAATAGTTTGGGTTGGACTGGACCTTAAAGACCATCCAGTTCCAACCCCCTGCCATGGGCAGGGACACCTTCTACTAGACCATGTTGATCCAAGCCCCATCCAACCTGGCTTTGAACACTACTAGGGGTGGGGCAGCCACAGCTTCTCTGGGCAACCTGTGCCAGTGCCTCAGCACCCTCATAGGGAAGAATTTTTCCCTAATATCTAGTCTAAATCTGCCCTCTTTCAGTTTAAAGCCATTCCCCCTTGTCCTGTCACAACATGTCCTTGTAGTGACCTATCCTAGGTCCAAGAAGCTACTCCGCTGTGTGCTACACTGGTACACCCAGGTGCCCATAACCAAATCAAGTGTAAAAAGGAATTAAGCAACATGAGTGTCTTGTGAAATACCCCTGGGTGTTCCAGTGCTCCTCTTCACTGCAAACATGGCAGCCTTTCAGGAGAACAGGGAAGAGCAACTGCCAACGTGAAGTCCGCACTGCTCTCCCAGCCTGGGGAGGTAGGATGGAGGGAGGAAGAAAGGGAAGTAAGGGAAGGAGGGAGGAAGGAGCAGAAGGAAGGCAAGGCCTGAACTGGAGGAGGGGGCTGTCTGATGAGTCAGTCCCAGAAAATACAGACCTCTCAAATACCTGCTTTGGCAATGTATGGGGCAGAGCTGGGGTAGGGGCTGTCATAGGAGGAACCTCAGCCCATCTTGGAGATGGGGAATGGGCATTTTCTGGCCAGCAGATCGTGCTGTGTGCATTTCCAGGAAAGGGTCTGTGGTGACCCTTATAGACATGTGAAATGCAGCCCTGCGTGGGGGCACGTGAGGTAGGAATGAAGGAGCCCTGTGCTCAGCACATGGCATTTGCCAGGCCCAGGAGCTGGGGTAGT